TACATGATGTGATTTTTAATTAATGCATATTTTTGAACACGTTGTATCTTAAAATGTATTATTTAATTAAAATATCTATGTTATATTTTTAATGTGCAACAAGTGAACATTGGGAACAAGCTCAACATGTGCTCAACAATAATTTACATAGCCAGTTATGAAAAATGGAGGAGATCTATTAAATCGAAAACTAAAGGAGAAAAACAGACTGCCTATATCTGCTTTTTTGGATATCCAGGGTGGCAACCAATATAGCCAGAAAATACATACATGTGACAATATTTCAGGTGGGGATCATCAACATTTGCTTCTTAGACATCCTAAAGACTGTAAAAATACAAAAGTTAGAAAACATATATCAGAAGGGTCCATAGGACAGGAGTTCCAGTGATCCAATGTCACCATTTTTTTTTACAATTTTTTGGTGTTTATTTGAGTCAACGCATTCTCACCCCAAGGCGTCACCTTTGACCATGCTTCAATATTTGACGTTTTAGGCGCCCTTTAGCGTCACTTACATGACGCGATCCTACGGCGTCATCTAACTGACGCTAAAGGAAAGCGTCTGTTAGAGGACGCGGTTAGGTTTAGGTGTGGGGTGGGGGTAGGGTACACGCGATCCACATCATCTAATCAAGACAATCCTCATATCTATCAATTCCTCATGCAAAGACGAAGAGAAAATGGGGTAGATTGTGTCTGTAGGATGTATTGTTCAGATTCTATGTAGGTTTAAAGTTTTCATTTTCCGCAGCCAAAAATCAAGCACAGACACAGAAGATGATACAAAAAATCACATATGGGACAAAAATTTGCGCGGGGAACATCAAAATTCATTTTCTAGACACCTTAAGGATTACAAAAAACTAGGTTAAAAAAATATATCTTTCGGTGCAGGTGAACCCCCCCTCCCTACCCTACTATATTGGACGGGGTTTTATTATTGCAGGTTTGGTTTTATTTGTTGGAAAAATAAATATAGAAATATAATTTGACACAAGAGGGCAGTATAGCCCTATTTATGGTTTTGAGTTTAAACTAAACCGTGACATCTACACGTTTTCCAAAGTGGACCAACATGATTATTTCACGTCTTGTCGTGATACGGGTTGGGCACTGAAGTTACAGGAGTTTCTTCCCGTTGCTAAGCAATGGAACTAGGTCGAGTATTTAAAAGGTTATAGTTAACACGGTTAACGTGGTTTAACGTCGATGTAATACGTTGTTTTAGCGTACCTTTTGCTTAAACGAGGAGCTGGGGGACGCCCAAGAAAATAGACATTTTACTCATTAGGCTGCTTCATTAAAAACGTGACATTTAGACGTTTTCTTCGGGGTGGATCCAGGCAAATTAATCCTTTTCACCTTGAAAATAATATATATATATATATATATATATATATATATATATATATATATATTGCATTTTAAATAATAGAACATTTCTCAGTGATCGTAAATAAAACAAAATTCCATTTTTCTCGGTTTAATGAATAGGTCGTTATGGCAGAGGCGAATAAACATCCGGATATCTCTCCAATGGAGCGTGTTAACGCAAACGTGTAAGTTTCACGTTTGAGGGGGTTAAACCGTGACATCTACACATTTTCCAAAGTGGACTATTTAGGCTGCTTCATTAAAAATGTGACATTTAGACGTTTTTTTCAGCGTGGATCGAGGCAAATGAATCCTGTTCACCTTGAAAATAATAAATGTTTTTTGCATTTTAAATATTAGACCATTTCTCAGTGATCGTCAATAAAACAAAATTCCATTTTTCTCAGTTTAATGAAAACCAATAGGTAAGTTTCAGTTTAAGTGTAAGTTTCACTTTTGAGGGGGTTTAAACCGTGACATCTACGCGTTTTCAAAAGTGGACCAAAGTGATTATTTCACGTCTTGTCACGATACCGGGTTGAAGAAATATTGTTTAGGCCACTTTTGTTTGATATAATCACAACAAATTAACGCAAATATGGGAATTGAACTCAGGTCTTCTTGATTAAAGCCCAACGCTAATGACGCACTTGTCTATTTCTCTAGGGGGGTTCGGGGGCACGCTCCCCCCGTAAGATAATTTTGTTCTGTAATGTTAAATTCAGCAGTCTGGTGCACTTTGAGAGTTCAAAATTAAAAGCTCCAACCCATATTCAGGGTGCAAATTAAACAGAGAAAAATTTGAACCTCTTTTAGTTAGTGTCTGTCTTTGCATTTACAAAACTAGGTAGGATTAACGCATATTTGTCTTTGACATCTTTGTATGGCTATTTTCGCTGTCCTTTTAGACTCTTTGATAGTGCCATTTTCTCTCACCAGCTTAAATGTTAACATCACTCTACACACGACATAATAGCTTAGCCTACCTCCAGCAGGCAAACAATAAAAAAAAAAAAAATGTAGTTTAGTATGCAAGGATGCCAAGGAATAATTATATGTTTAAAAGTAGTCTAAGTCAAATAATTATTACAATAAGTTGGACTCCATTGTGTAACAAGCAAATTAACCCTTTGATGCGCAAGCTATGGATACCCCTTCTAATGCGCAACATGGGTCTAAAAAAGACCCGTATTCATTTCCTATGTTATTTCAGTGATGGCTGAGTGTTTTCTTTGCTGAATCTTTAAAATATATGTATTTTATCATTTGTTATTCCAGGTAGGCTATTCATTAAATATCTTGTTTAATAATTTAATTTAATAATTTTAATAATTCAATAATTTTTTGATAGCCTACTGTCTGGCTATCATGAAAAAAATATGCATTATGAAGCAAAAAAATACACCAGAGACCACAGACTGAGTTCTTAAGGTCATTTATCAATAAAAAAAAAAACTTTCTTCAACAAATAGTGTCAGTTTCAAAACACATTCTATAAGAACGGACACTTCCAGTTATTGTCTATTAATGGCTGACGCTGTGTTCGTTGCCATTTAATGCTTTGTAACCACAGACAGTTGAAAGTCATAATAAAATGAGACGATGCGCAGCCAGCAAAGTTGCAGGGCTCGTCAGTCTGACACGTGTAAACACAACACTCACTAGCCGCGTTTCCACTGCCGGGCCAGGGCCGGGCCGTGCTAGTGCGTGCCAGGGCCAGTCGCGTTTCCACTGTCACTTCCGGGGCTTGATCGGGGCTTCCTCAGGGCCAACGGCCAGGATTTCTGGCCCGTCGAATACCTTGGGCCAGAGGGGGCCAGCTCGGGCTAGAGGCGTGCTCAAGGTAAAAGGCGGAGTTTATCGGTGTTATGGAACGTTATGATCTGAAGCAAGATGCACATAGGGGTGTCACTGATTAACCGTTTAAAATTGCAAAACATTTTAATTTGAACTGTAGGCCTATGCCAAATGCTGCGCAAAAATATATAGGCTACATATCGACGAATTTCAGATATTTGTTTGATTTTTTTGCCCCTTAAACATTTAAAATATTTGACAAATTAATATGAAAAAAAGATATATTTTACTGGTTTTCTGAGGCCAAATTAGAACCTGGAAATGATATTTTCCCTGCAGTGCTGAATGAGAAGAGCCGTTACCACAGCCTACAGAAAGGGGATTTATAGGTGATTTATAGGCTATAATAAATGTGTTTGATAATAAAATAATATAAAATAACGAGGCATTAATTGTTTATTAATAAACTATTGTTTTCTAAATGATTTTCGGCTAAAAACATATCTCCATCTCCGGATGCACATGTAGAGAGAAATTAATTAGCTATAAATACATAGTCAGAAGATATTGCTTTCGATTCGAATTTGTTCGTTTTAAATTGGACATTTAAAGCTTTAATCTACAAAGGATATAACCCCTGTAGACTAAAGCTTTAAATGTCCAATTTAAAACGAACAAATTCGAATGCGGCTGTTTCAGGTCTCACGCTTCAGTTCACGGAGTTAATGAAGCGCGCCTTGATTAATTGTTAAAGCACAACGTTTCTTGTTATTGTGAGTTTACGCAAATAAATGTATTTGCGAATAATGTATTATTATTTTCTGTATGACCAGAAATGAAAGAGTATTTTAAGTTGTTTCCACTGAAAGAAATGCAATGAAACTGCAAGTGTTCACATGGGCGTCTCGCAGCCATCAGTGCGCGTGCTCCACACACACTGGATATGCGCTGATACGCGTCAAAAATATTGTGTTTATTTGTGCTCTGTTCCTTTTTTGGATAAAGGCGTCTTCTACATATGCAGCCTAATAAAATGTTACAATAATGATGATGATGGTTATTATTATTATTATTATTATTTGCAGACACGGAGTTTTTGTGAAATGGACGTTTTGCTTATTTTCAATTGGCAATTTCAGTTTGAAGGGTGATGGAAATGCGGCTTTAACTGCTCCGTACTTGCTGCGTTTATTTCTATAAATTAATTTAGTTTCAAATGGGGTCCAATCAGTTATTAAAGGTGTTAAAAATTACCTCTGTATCTCGAGGTTGCGGCGCGCACACTATGCACCGAGTATTAACCGATGGGCCTCGGTTGAAGGTTCATGAATAACTTGAAAACGTGCCCGCAGCCCTACTTGTTATATCGCGCAAAAAATCGCTGCTTGAAATGGAGAATCGCCTGTACTGGTCTCGGGACACTATTGCAGCCACTACGGCAGGTGAGTTAATATACATGCTATCTTTCTAATTTACAAAATAAATTAATTCATAATACCCGCTGAAATGGGTTGGGTTTTATGACGTTTGATCCAGAAAGGCGTGTTAGGGGTGGGGTCTGGTGCAGCGCTGTGGGGCTACTGGCCCGGCAGTGGAAACGCAAGCCCGGTGCTTGAGGCCCGAGGCCACTAGCTCGGCTCGGCTCGCTGTTAGCTCTGGCCCAGCCCTAGCCCGGCAGTGGAAACGCGGCTACTGACGTCTTCACTTCCAGGTCAAGAAGCTGTCAATCAAAAACTCAGTAGCCAATGAGAATACACTGCTACTATCCCGCCCCCACGAGAGATTTGTGTCAGAACAGCGAACGCAAACTCAGGGAGTGTTTACGAAAACACCAGAAGCGTAAACGAAAACTTCAGAAGCGTAAATGAAAACTCTGGAAGCGCATTTGTAAGTGTAGATCAGTAAAAGAAATATAAGGAATAGTTAGCAAAACATGTAGTGTATTAAAAACAAAGTCAAAAAAATTGCTTGCGGTTCATTCTTTTTCAGTTTCAAAGATATTTTATTCAGTTTCAATTTATATTTTCATTAGTTTCTTGAAACGTTACGTTCATTTTTATTGGCTCAAAATTAATTCCATAATTGCTCAAGTGGAATGGATTTGACTGACGGCGCTCTGAAAAGTGAACAGACAAATGCGCTGAATTAGAGACGGTAGAAGTGAGTGGGCCCAATATCATTGGTCTTAAAAAGTGGGTGGGTCTTGTCCCACCCATATACAATGGTTCCGACGCCCATGCCACTATATGAAACTTGTTTACACCACGGAATAAAACAATTTAAAGGTGATAAAATCCTTTTATCTCAAAATTCTGACTTTTTTTCTCACAAATTGCGAGTTTACATCTCGAAATTCTGACTTTTCTCAGAATTACAAAGTTTGTAACTATGAGTTTATATCACAATTCTGACTTGTTTTCTCACAAATTCTGAGTTTACATCTCGAAATTCTGACTTTTTTCTCTGAATTGTGTGATATAAACTCACAATTGTGAGTTATAAAGGCAGAATTGAAAGATATAAATACACAATTGCTTGTTATAAAGGCAGAATAGTGTGATATAAAGTCACAATTGTGTTATAAAGTCAGAATTGAAATATATAAACTCTACAATTCTGACTACTACACAAAGACTACTTTTCTCAGAATTACAACTATGTTTATAACTATGAGTTTATATCACAATTCTGACTTGTTTTCTCACAAATTGCGAGTTTACATCTCGAAATTCTGACTTTTTTCTCTGAATTGTGCGATATAAACTCACAATTGTGAGTTATAAAGGCAGAATTGCAAGATATAAATACACAATTGCTTGTTATAAAGGCAGAATAGTGTGATATAAAGTCACAATTGTGTTATAAAGTCAGAATTGAAAAATATAAACTCGCAATTCTGACTTTTTTTACTCAGAATTACAAAGTTTATAACTATGAGTTTATATCTCACAATTCTAACTTTTATCCCTGAATTGTTTGATATAAACTCACAATTGTGAATTATAAAGGCAGAATTGCAAGATATAAATACACAATTGCTTGTTATAAAGGCAGAATAGTGTGATATAAAGTCACAATTGTGTTATAAAGTCAGAATTGCAATATATAAACTCACAATTCAGACTACTTTTCTCAGAATTACAAAGTTTATAACTATGAGTTTATATCACAATTCGGACTTGTTTTCTCACAAATTCTGAGTTTACATCTCGAAATTCTGACTTTTTTCTCTGAATTGTGTGATATACATTCACAATTGTGATTTTAAAGGCAGAATTGCAAGATATAAAGTCACAATTGTGTTATAAAGTCAGAATTGAAATATATAAACTCGCAATTCTGACTTTTTTTTTTCAGAACTACAAGTTTATAACTATGCGTTTATATCTCACAATTCAGACTTTTTCTCCCGAGTTACAAAGTCAGAATTGCGAGGTATAATTCTGAGAAAAAAATTATTATTTTGAGAATTGTGAGACTTATTCTTATCATTGTGAGAACTCTGCGAGTTATATCACGCAATTGTCAACTGCTGGAGGTGGTGGTGCTAGAAACAAGCTTCCATAGACCTCAGGCTATCGGTTACTTTTTTCTCTTTTTTCATTTCTATTGGTGTATTATATGTGACTGGCAACTATTTAATACAGGTTATTCCCATTAATATTTTCCTCTTTGCTCTCTCTTTACAACAACCTTTGCCCAAACTAACTCTAATTAAAATCACTGTTTTGGATCAGTTCTGGCTACAACATCAGCAAACTCTAATCAGAGGTGTATTTCTATTTGGGTCAGATCTGTGCCGAAGGAAATCTGCTGACTGGGGAACATCTTGAGATACCTCAACTTTGTCTCCTGAGCCATGATCCTTTGCAGGGAAGTAGACGACCTCTTGAACTTCATCGCAGGGCCTGTCCGAGTTCTTCCCGAAGATGATCCGCTGCTGACCCTCTGTGGACGGAGGCAAAGCCACAAATGTGTCGCAGGAGGTTGGGTACATCCTGAAAGAAACAAAATGTAACATTCCATGTAAATGTATGTATCCAGTGTTCACTGCTGGAGTTTCAATCTCTCAATATTATTAATAGATGGCAATCATGAATTCATTCAAAACAAACACTGACCTTGAAGTAATACAGAATGTTTTTCTACTCAAAATATACCAGCATGAATGAACTCGTAAGATACAGATACAGGCCTTTACATGAAACATTATTTACCATTACCACTAATACGTAGATATTCATTAAGATTATCCAAATATTTGCAATAACGCTGGCATTCAGTATGCTTTAAATAGTATGTTTACCTTGTCCAACTCAGCGTATGTGTCAGTCAGGCACGAAGAAAATCACTATTCTGTTCAAAGAGATTAAACATCTGTTTACTTTCCTTTCTCCATAAACAAAACTGCCAGCAGACTTTGACACAAATCCGCATGCACGGTCATCTGATTTATAATCAACCAAAACAATCCGCTCAAGCGCTGTGACAATGAGTCTGCTCGATCCGCATTAGTGTTCAGTCAGCGGAAAAGTGGGCGTGGCGGTGGCGCATTCAGGACGCATCGAGTCACGTGGGCGTGCAGTGGCATTTTCGATTGGCTATTGTCTTTTATGATTTAAACTAAAATAAAACCATTAGAATAAAACTGTATTTTTTTTATACATTTTGAAACCGGGGGATCCGTTAGAATAAACAATACATAAAATAAAAAAGTAAATAAAAATATTAAAACCTTCACACATTTTTACAGCTTTATTTTGTCAAACTATATATTGTGTAATGTATCGTTGAACATGTAGGCTTCTTCAATTTATGTTTACAAAATGTAGCTAATAAAAGTAGCAGCTTATATTATGGAAAATCCCGGATGTTTGTTGTTTTGATGGCGTCATAAAAAAGCGACGCTACTGATGTTTTGATGCTAGGCGGAAAACGCTAGCTTCAGTTTTTAATAACATTTTGGTCGTTACGCTGGTGTTCAAACATGGGGAAATCTTTTGCTAATTTCATGTGCAAGAAGGATTTTCATCCTGCGTCAAAATCCAACATAAAGAAGGTAACGTTAAGCGGGAGGTTTTCGCTAGCATTGCACTGGAGTCTTCTGTATATATTTACAGTAGTCAACTTTTAAAGTGAATCAACAAAGTTCATCAAAGTTTTACTAAGACAAGAACGGGAATTGTTCAAAATTCATGTATAGACCATTTCACAAGATGTAAACAACACTGGTCCAGAAGCACTTCCTGTTTCAGTTTTTTAACACTACATAAAAGCTGGGATAAAATACAACCAACAGAACATTTAAAACTGAATCAAAAAGTTAAACAAACATCTTTATGATGTTTTCTTTACACGTGAAATAAAGAAAACAGTTACAAACTGAAACAGGAAGTGCTTCTGGACCAGTGTTGTTTACATCTTGTGAAATGGTCTATAACTTTGAAGAAAGGTTTTGATCCACTTCAAATGTTGATCCACTCACGGCATATTTGGTTGTTGCACATGTATTTATTCACAAACATATGATATGTGTGTTAATTTGCTTTGGGTAATAATCATATAGAAAACAGAGTCTAGTGTCAGATGTTTCCAGAGGAACACAGGCTCCTTTATTTGAATGTTGAGAGACAAACTGGTGTATCTGAGGTGCTAAACTCTTCATATATCTTTGATTCTTCATCAGGTATGGATCGCAGAGCAAAAGTTAACCTTCGAGAAGAAGCAGCAGGAGGATCTGATGCAGGCTTACCTGAAGGAGCAGGACACGTACAACAACAGGTCAGAGAAGTCCAGTCCAAACCAGCAGACAGGACTGGGTCTCAGCCTCTCTCTCTCTCTCTCTCTCTCTCTCTCTCTCTCTCTCACACACACACACACACACACACACACACAGTCACAAGGGCATTTACCTGGAAACTGAAATGGTCCCGTTGAATGTTTTGTGTTCCAGACTGCTGATGGGAGACGATCGTGTGAAAAATGGCCTTAACTTCATGTATGAAGCGCCTCCTGGAGCATCTAAAGGTCAGAAACGTTTCCACCAGTTGTTGTGGAGTTATTCAAATAATGTAATCCATAACTGATCATTCGCTTGCAAGTCATGATGATCAAACCTAAAGACATACAAGATTTCAATCAATCCAAATTGTTAGAAAATCAAGAAACTGAGTATAAATAATCATGTTTTTTTTCTTTCATTCACCACCGACTTCCTGCAGAGGAGGAAAAAGAGGTACGTTCACTTCCATGATAAAGTTTGCTGTTTGTGATTTTGTCCTGTCAACCTTTTAAATAAAAATATTAAACTTGTGTTTTTAACCCTTTAAAGCATATCTTAATATCACATCATATTTAACGGTTCACATTTCTAAGGCGTCTGAATTATTAACATGATACACTTTGCTGTAAAGCCTGCTGCGCTCAATCCACTACAAGCCTTCTGTCGTCTAATTGACAGTTCATACTTTGTAAAAGGCCTTTATAATTGTATAAACTTCCAACTTCAACTTGTCTTTTTGCTGTGAAATCGTTACTGATTTTATATAAAGTAAACGTAACAATAACTTTGATATTGTTAGGAATATTTATCCTACTTACAAGATCTAACATTTTCTGGACTGAAGCGACTTTTCTTTTAGAAAAATTATGTTAAAATCATGAAATGTATGAATCAAATATGATCATCAGGCTTTTGAGGAAGGTTTATTTGTTCATCTCTCAATCATCATTGTTTTACATTGCATTATGTTTTAAAACCACAGAGCTTTGATCATAAAACGAATCATTTAAATATCATCTTTCCAAAACTTATTATTGGCAGATATTGAGTGACAACTGATATTTATTTACTTATTTATTTACACACACTGATGTCTACGGTAGTAAATGACCTATTGGAAGTAACTTCAAATAAATATTGTACACTTACACCATTACTCCAGTAGGTGGCGACAAGCGACTGTTACACATGTATTTGTCATTGAATCATTCGTTTGTTCAAAAACATTGATTCATCCAGTAATTAAACAAGTGAAATCTTTATGAGTGAGTCATTGAATATATTAAAAAAATATTTAATCAATTAGAACTATTTTTTTTTTGAGTGATTAATTTTTTTTTTAATTCTAATATTTCTAATAATATCAATTAATTCTAGGAAATTAAGTATTTTTTTAAACAGCATTTAACATGATGTCAGAACCTCTAGTAAATTACATGCTATTTTTTTAATTGTTAAGTGAGAACCGTGATCTCTATTTTAAACAATAAATCATGATTTTCAGTTTATCCAGAATCGTGCAGCTCTATCCTGATGTATCAAATATGACACTCAACAACAAAGAGAAAGATTTTTGGGGTTATTCTATTCATGTCCCAGTTTCAGCTCACGTCACTAAAGTCAACCTCACGTTTTTCATCTTTAGGGAGGAGAGTCCGAGTACAAGTTTGAGTGGCAGAAAGTAGCTCCTCGTGAAAAGTAAGTTCACTCGCTGATAAGTGATGCTTGATCTCAAATTTGCCCTTAAAAGTATTTCCTACTCATATTTTTCTCATCAGGTATGCAAAGGATGACATGAATATTCGAGATCAGCCCTTTGGCATTCAGGTGATGCTTCATCTTGTGTTATACACCTTCATAAATGTATTGCTGACCCACTAATGTCTGAATGCCGTGAACATGTGGGCACTTTGCTTGTTTTCTTGTTCTTGAATGCTGTAGGTGCGTAATGTGCGCTGCATTAAGTGTCATAAATGGGGTCATGTGAACACGGATCGCGAGTGTCCCCTCTTCGGTCTGTCGGGGATCAATGCCAGCTCTATGCCCAGTGAAGAAGCAGCAGGTATACTGATCTTTCCTTATTTTCCGTATGATCAGGGCAGGAAAGGTGCTAAAAAATCTCAGGGAACCTGCAATTTCAACTGAGGCGATAGTCTCTCCATGCCCTGTGCGGAAAATCCAGCTTTTACTGTTATTTATATGTCTATGTGGTGTTTTTAAAGGAGAAGTTCAGTTTAAAAAAAACTTTTGCTGATAATGTACTCACCCCCCATGTCATCCAAGATGTCCATGTCTCAGGGATGTGATTTTTCCGGATTAATCCGGAATTCCGGATTTTCCGACCTGAAAATGTGACCTACGTGAATCATGCAGATCTGTAAAAAAAAAAAAAAAAAAAAAAAAAAAAAAAACGGGTGTCGGCAGCCGGAATGAAAAGGAGAGAATATGAGGACATAACCCATAACTGGCTGACGTGCGTACAGAAAGTTCCTTCCAAAGTATCAACAAGGACGTATTTGCGTTCAGCCAGAGAATGTCTAATTGGTTCAGCTTGTTCACCTGCTCAATTTCGTATCTCTAGTCGCTCTCGCGCTGGTATCGTTGTCAGTTGACAACATCACAGTTAGGTCACCAGGGCTAGGCGATATATCGATATATTTCAAATTTGCGCTATGATCCATTGCTCCAAGCAAGCTGCTGACTGCTTTTGTAGAAATATGTAGCAGCTATATCGTGCATTCTGTCAGTTGCAGTCCTGACACCTCCGTCTCAACAGCATTAGTGTACAACGCGACAAATACTCGCAATATTAACGTAGAGGAACGGCTACATCAGTTCAGCGAGTTCACAAAAGTTAATTTGCATGTGATTTAATTAAAGCCTTGCCGGTTAAACATGTCTTCACTGCTGATGCGCTGTTCTGAGCGCGAACACCCGACGTGGACATGCACTAAAAGCTTGTCTAACAGCGCCTGGTTGCTGGACTAAGTTATCTTTCGAGTATTATTTCGCTAATACTCTCAAATACACACAAGGTTTACATAAGAACATTTGGTTATGTCTAAACTCAAAGCAAACCGAGAAAATTGAGAGAAATCTGCTTGTCAAATGCTCCGTGTATATTAGACGTGTCGCGTACAGGTCTTAAAGTGACAGTAGCCCTAATAATAAAAATGCAGCTGCTTGTTCTTAAATGGATAGTTGACCCCAAAATAAAAATTCTGTCATTATTTATTCACTGTAAATGTTGTTCCAAACCTGTATTCATTTATTTCTTGTGCTGAACAAAAAAGAAGATATTTTGAAGAATGTGGGTGACCAGACAGTTTTTACTATGGGAATCACTGGGGTACATCAACTGTTTGGTTATCCACATTCTTCCAAATAATTTAAACAGAAGAAAGAAACTTATTCAGGTTTAAAACAACTTGAGAGAGTAAATTATGACAATTACAATTTTTGGGAGAGCTATCTATTTAATGTTAATTAAACAACAAAACACAGAGGAAATCACTCGCTGCTCTTGACTGAGAACTTTAATAGTAGCCTTAATAATAATCAGTGTATAATTTATATAGTGAAGACTATATTTGACTTTGATTGAACATTTACTCTCGCTTTGCGGAAAAGATATTGGGATATATATCGATCGGTGGGGTGGGTGGTCGGGCTTCGTATATTTTCCTGCTTTTTTGTCCTTAGCCAATCACATGCCTGATGTCTTTCTTTCTTCAGACGAAAAGAAATTAAAGGTTTTTGATGAAAACATTCCAGCATTTTCTCCATATAATGGACTTCAATGGGGTCCAAACGGTTCAAGGTCCAAAAGACAGTTTCAGTGCAGCTTAAAGGTGCTTTAAATGATTCCAGACGGTGAATAAGGGTCTTATCAAGCGAAACTATCGGCCATTTCAAAAATAAATAACAAAGTTTACGTTTTATAAGCTCAAATGCTCGCCTTGCTCTGTTCTGTGATGCGCGTTCGTGACTCTCCTGTTCGAACTCGTTCATCAAAATGAACGAATCTTTTTTCCCGAGTCATTTAGTTGATTCAACGAATGAAATGAACGGAATGGCTCAAAAAATGATTTGATCCTTTTGTTCCTTTAGACAAACCATGTGAGAACTTGCAGGGGAGTCTCTAGAGAAGCCAGGTTTTCCTGGTTATTATATTATATTATTTAATTTTTTTTTTTTGCATATTAACAAAACAGTAATTCATACAAGGTAAGTAATCAGTGACACATATACAAGAAGAGAAAAAAAACACAAAAACAACAAAATACAAAACAGCACAACAAGGTCATCGACAAAGTGGTGCGTGTAGGGACACGAGATCCTTCCTGTGAGGCAACTATAGATGGGGCAATCCGGTAGTATCAGTATAATTCTAGTGAAGGTAATAATCACAAAAACAACAATGATATATTCATATTAATATTAGTGGTGGTAGTATCAATGATAATATTCATGACAACAATAGTAGCATTAGCTCTAGCAATCTACAACAGTAGTACTAATAATTACAATACATTTAGCTCAGTCAATATCACTTTCAGACCTGTAGGTGGCGACAATGTCCAATAATACACAGAGAGTGTCTGTCATACCTGGACAAAGCTCCTATGGCTTCCCATTCAGCTTCACTTCTGAATACAGGTGTCTGAATTATAAATGCCATGTGACCAATCCTGTCGGCATCACATGCTAATGATGTCAGAACATACATCACCCCAACCCCAGTTACTAGGAGACAAACACTTCAAGATTTCAGACTATCTTCTATAATCTGATAAAATATTTGTGATTATATGATATTAGTAGAGAATTTGTGTACTAACCTGCCAAACTTTGAATCCTTGTAATACTTGAAGAATGTGGCGTTTGGTCCTGAAATCTATAAAGTGTAATCTATATATCAATAAAGTGAGAGCTTGTCTCCGCCCTAGAATAAAATAAAGAGGTAATTTTGACATTTTCTCTCACAATTCTGGCTTTATTTCTCACAATTGTGAGTTAAAAATTTTAAGAAATGTATTTTTCTCAGCATTGTGACTTTGTATGTCAGAATACAGAGTGACCTTTTAAACTCGTATTTCTGGAGTATTTCTCGCAATTGTGAGATCAAAATCAAGTACCTTATTTTTTATTCAGTGGGAGAAACATTCTTACACAGATCGCAAATTAATTTATTTTAAAGGATAACAAATATGATGGAGTATTTCATACACAAATTACTTATATTGTGCTAATATTGTACCCAGTTTTAGAATAAAATCACCATTAAAGGGACCCAAAAGACCTGTATGACTTTTTGGGTCCAATTCTTTTTTATTTATTTATTTTTTTTTTTTATTTCAGGCAATGGCACAAAAGTACAAGGCAGACAAAATGGTTGTTAAGTCATACAGTGCAAAAGGAAACAAGAAACAAAAAAACAACAACAAAAATTACTATTAACTATGCTTTTGCCTCAATAAACTCGTACTTACTGCTTAGTAACCGTTAGTAAGGTAGTTAAGTTTAATAAGCATCTAGTTAAGAGCGAGAATTGGACCTTAAACTAAAGTCTTACTGACTTTTTTCCTCTGTGGATCACAAAAGAAGATATTCAGAAGAACACTGGGAACAATACAACATTGGAGCCCGTAGTATGAACTATGAACTAAATATGCAAGTTTTGGAACAAGATTAAAGGAGTAGTTCACTTTAAAATTTTCTTCAGTTGAAAAGAAATTAAGGAATCAAAATGAACAAATCTTTTTCCGAGTCATTTGGTTCATTCAACGAACGAAATGAAGGAATTGACTCTGAAAAAAGAGAGTCATTTTGATGAAAGAGAACACAGAATCACAGCAAGGCGACCATTTGAGCTTAAACTTAAACTTTGTTATTTATTTATTAAATGAGTGCTCGTTTCGCTTGATAAGACCCTTATTCATCGTCTGATGTCATTTAAAGTACTTTGAACAGTTTGTAGTTTGCACTGAAACTCTCTTTTGGACCTTGAACCGTTTGGTTCCCATTGAACTCCATCATATGGAGAAAATCCTGAAATGTTTTCATCAAAAACCTTAATTTCTTTTCGACTGAAGAAAGAAAGACATGGACATCTTGGATGACATGCATGCAGCAAAAGTTTTTTCAAAAGTGAACCACTTTAAGAGAATGAAAAATCACAGAATGGTTCAGTTTTGTGTCTGAGTAACTTTGAGGTGGTAAAGGTGTGTGTGTGTCTCCGCATGTTTCTTCGGAGAGGAGATAGATCCTACTCTCGTGTTGGTGGGAAATGTTATTATTAGTTGTTTTGATTGGATGACACCTCTGCTTCTGCAGGATAATACTGTACGCCTTACCCAGCTGAGAGTTGATTTGGTGCGTCTTTGTGTGTTAACAAAGCCTGTAGTGTGCATCTCTCCGAGGGGGGGGAGTGATCACACATTATTTGTTCTGAAAGAGTGATTTGTCCTAACAGGTCCGTCGATGCACCCCTCCGAGTTAATGGCAGAGATGCGAAACAGTGGGTTTGCGCTGAAGAAATGTGTCCTTGGGAGGGACGCCACCATGACTGATCCAGCACAGGTAATCTCCTGGACCCTGCCCAAATATGACCCATGATATCCATGTCTGGAGCTCAGCGTGTGATTGCAGAAAAACGTCCAATTATTGAACAGGCCGTTCCCGTCGGTTGAAGGGTTAGACTAGAACTGATGAGCCCAACAACTACAATTACAAGAGTAGAGACGTGCTGGATTTCACACGGTGGTTCTGCACAAAGTACCTTTCTGATTGACCCATTGTGAACGTGTGTGTGTGTGTGTTGTTGTGCTTCAGGATTTTGTGGCCAGCGAGGAAGAAGACGACCCTGAGGTGGAGTTCCTGAAATCTCTGTCCACCAAACAGAAACAGAAACTACTCAGGTGTGTGAAATTACACATACACTACCGCCTATATTCATAGTAATCCAATTGATCATAATTACTAGTAATATAAATTCTTAGAAATAGCGATTAATATTAATTTTAGTAATATTATCAATTTTTACATTTTTGTGCATCTAAGACATTAAGGGGAAAATCTGTCATTTAACTCTTTATAAACTAGTTTAATTTCAGTTTAATTTTAATTTAGTAGTGCGAAGTAGTAATTTAATTATTAATTTATTTTTTAATTTAGTAGTAATTGCGAGTAGTGTTATCATAAGCCTTTGCCATTTCCAAAGTATATGTATGTATGTATGTATATGTGTGTGTATGTGTATATATATATATATATGTGTATATATATGTATATATATATATATATAGTGTATGTATGTATGTATGTATATATATATGTATATGTATGTATATAATTACACACACTACAGGTGTGTGTATATATATATATATATATATATATATTTATATATGTATAACTACACACTACAGGTATATATATATATATATATATATATATAATTTGTGTTTGTATTTATATATAAATAAATAAATAAATAAATATATATAGAAATACACACACAAATTATATATATATATATATATATATATATATATATATATATAATTAAACTGAAATGTATAGGGAAAAAAAGTATAATTTTGCAATTTAAAATATACTCTTTTCTATATGAATATGGTGAAGTGTAATATAAATGTCTTTTCTGCCACTTTTACTTTGCTTAATAAAAGCATTAATTTCTTAAAAAAAAGAAAAGAAAGATAAACCTACCAACCCCAAACTTTTGAATTATAATTATAACTCTCATCCCCTTCTTCCTTTTAGAAAACTTGACCGTCTTGAAAAGAAGAAAGAGAAGAAGAAGAAGAGTAAAAAGGAGAAAAAGAAGAGCAAAAAGAAGCAGAAAAAGAAGCCAGCCGAGAGTGAGAGTTCATCCAGCAGCTCCTCAGACAGCAGCGACAGCGACTCTGAGGACAAGAAGAAGAAGAGGAAGAAGAGGAGGGACTCGTCCAGTGAGAGAGGGAGGGAGGACAAAGAGAGAGGACAAGATAGACACAGGAGCAGGAGTAGAGAGAGGAGGAGAGAGAAAAGCAGGAGCCCTCAGCGATGGAGAGATGGTAAGGAGAGGGACAGGAGCGCGAGCAGGGAGAAAAGAGACCAGGAGAAGGGCAAGAGGGAACGAGAGAGAAACTGGGATAGAAATGTCAAAAGGAGGAGTGTCAGTCGGGAACGAGGGAGGGGCTCGGACAAACACGGCAGGAGTGATAGCAGGGATGCAGAGAGGAAGAAATGAGTCTCAAAGGACATGATTGACTCGCCCTTGTGTCATTCCAAACTCTGACCACTTTTTAAACACTTTAAAGCTTGATCGCTCCGATGACAATACAATATAATGTTATACACACATCTGCTTAAAGGTGTGCGATACCTTTTGTGTGAAATTCAAGGCATTGGTCTTGTAATTCTTCCCCTTTCCTTGAAGTTCTGTTGGTCTGCTGAGAACCAATGACACTTGAGGATATTAGGAGCTTTAGACGTCACTCGTACCGAAATGAGACGTTTAAATATAAATATATTTTTAATTTCCTTTTCTGTTTGAGTCATGAGAGTTTGGACTGACGTGAGGGTTACTAAATGAGGACCGAATCTGAAATGTTTTGGGTAAATAGTTTCTCTGGGTGGCTTTCCCAATGTTTTTTTTTTCTCTGGGAATTTCTCCAGAAGAGGGCGCCATGAGAATGTAGAAACTCAACCTGTTATACACCAGGAATTAAAGTGTTTTCAATACATTTGCTGTACTCCTAGTTCATGTTCTCTTTTCTTTAAGCATTTAGCCCTCCTCAAATGTAATGTTTGTTTGACTCGTTGACAGGTTATATATTCCACACATAATATTCTGTTCATTAAACTATTATTTATGGTTTTTGTGGCTCGCTCCTTACCTCAAGTCAGTTTGTAAGGATGTCTGAAATACAGGTTGTGGTATAAAACTTGATGCCAGTTACAACTCTACAACATCACCCGTCCGTTAAATGGGATTAGTGGTTTTCCGCTCATTTTAAATTCAGGGTGACTAATTTATTATTATAAGTATTGTGTATAGCTACTAAAAGAATGTTCAACAACTCTCAAATTTGCGAAATCGAGCTGATGTATAAATATAACTGAACTATTCCTCGTGTTCGAAGTGGCGGTGTTTAAAATTGAAAATATATTGGCAATATATGTTCAAAACTGAAAATATATTGGTAATATATGTTAAAAACTGAAAATATATTGGTAATATGACAATACTGGCAACAAAAATGTCAGAGCGCATGGTTTATACACGTAAGACCAACATGATTTTTAAATGCCAGAAATATGAGTGTTTCTCTCAACATCACATTAATCGAGCAGATAAAATAACAAACCCTAACTTCATCAAGGCTGGCCATGAGGTAACAAAAAGTCGATTCAATTGCAATTCAATTATTTTGGGTTAGACTAAAGGAATTTAAACACTGACTACTTTAGTTGCGTTTTACTGGTTCAATAATAAGAACGTGACAGTAAAACATTAGCATTGTTAGTGCCTATATAATTATTTCTAACGATAATCATTTAATGTGTAAACATGGTTGTGCTCGATGGACATTGTCTGACCAAAAGGGAGATGAAAGAGTTGCACCGCTCCGGCAGCGCGGGAAAATCACATCGTCACGGCTGAGTTTCCCGCGCTGCGGCCGGAGCGGCGCTTCGCTTTGATCACTCTTTTATTACCGCGCGCAAACAAAGCTGACTTTTGCCTCGCGCTCAGTCAGAGGGCATTCCAGAAAAACGCGAACAAAAGGCCGTGATTGACAGCGCTACTGTCCGCAGCCCCAGGCGCATCATTCGCCTCCAAAAGACTGAAAAGCACTTGTCCATGTATAAGCTCCCGTTTGTAGACCTTAATAGAACCATATAATTGTAAAGCGTGCTGGTGAATGCCTTCACGCCCAAATAGCGCTCATTTCCGTAACACAAATTTTGAATTGTGTGCAATAAAATCGTTGCATCCTACATTAACTTTTAAAAGACAGAGAATTGTGTTCGGCACACACCTGCAAGAAACATTGCCTATACGGAAATTGCGTTTGGGTGTTTTAGTCTATTTTTAAACCCTGGATTGACCACTACATGTCAGTTTAATGATTTACAAACTATGCATATTTTTTTTATTCCTTATTTCCAAAATGGTATCCGGTTTTCACGAGGTCGTTAAATGATAATGGACCATTTTCTATTTGTGTTTTTTTTTTTTTTTTCCTGAAAAGGCTGCGGCCACCAGCACACAAAAGGAAATGAAAATAATTTTAGTCTATTGCCTTCTGGTCAATTTACCTTGTAGCACAGAAAGCTAACGAGTTCCCAGGCAGGGCTCGAGCTGTAATTATTCCGCCGGGTTTTGTGGGATCGGACGCTGCACTGGATAAACACAAAGAAGTCAGAGAGCATCCTTGAACCTTTTCAGTACAGGGCCACTGATATTCAAATAACAGCCAGGGACCATTTGACTGCGAGAGCATTTTAAATTCAGCATTTGCATAAGGCCTCTCCCAATTTCCCCCTTTCAAAAGTGGCAAGAAAAAAGAAAGGAAGAAAAAAAAACTGTTCCCATAACACCAAATCAAGAGTAGCGTTTTATAAACGCTAAACGATGCTTTATGCCTTCAGCCCTCTCTTCGATGGACATTTTCCGTTTGACATGCAAATTTAAGCAGTTAATTTGAGCAATTCAAATAAATATTCAGAGGCCCTTTGTCACTGAATCCCCTCGGAAAATGTGCGATAAAGAGCTGCTGAACAAATGATGTCTCGGAGAGTAATTAGATATTTGATAAGACACGAATCCCTAATCGCCAATACAAGACACATGGGGCTGCGATGTGCTCCAAGTCATAATTAATACTATTTAACAAGATATTCATTTGGACAAAAATTCCCCTTTCTGGGGAATTAACTATTGATTTTTTTTTTCCCAATGGGGAAAAAAACGAGTCTACATTAGCCTACCGATATTTATTTCCTCTCCCCAAAAAATGTAAATATATATTCGTAATAATTATGCGCAGTCTGCACGATTTTACATTTTTGGATTAAAATAATTTCGATGAAAACATTTGCATCAGACAACCCAAGCTTTAGATTTTAAATCCCTTTAATTACAAAATGAAAGCCTTATAAGCGTGACTTTATACAATTAAACATTTATATATTTTGAGCAAGGTAAAGGAAAGGTTAAATGAATTTTAAATAGCTGTATAACATACATACTTGACATCCACAAAGTGCGTCGAAAGGAAAGAAAAAAATCCCTGAATTTCAGGATCCACCACAAAACAATCATAACATTTACAGGAAAAAAAATAACATGTTATTTTTTGTGGATATATGTACACATTTAGCTCAACCGGCAGCCGTGGTTATTTAGTTCCCTCTTTTTGCCCAACACTGATTCCACAACAAATGTCCACCGTTAAAACACCGAGCCTTGAAGACTTCAAGCGTTCGTCTGTGCGCGTGTTCATTTGCTCTTTCCAATGCAAGCCATTTCGACGAAATGGAGAGTTTGTCGCATACTACTCCAGTCCAGACCCGTTTCCTTTTCTCTAGGAAAATGCGTTCAGTATATAAGTCGCGCTCAGGACTCGTGGTGCGGAGATTGGTCTTTGACCGTGACCCGCGGGTTTACCCCGTCTAAAATCAGTTCTGGAGACTCAGACCTGGGGGTCTCCAGGTTGCTGGTGTCGGTGTCGCTGTCGCTGCCCTTTTTTCCTCCGCCTCCAGCGGTGTGTGTTTTGATGTGTTTGCTCAAGTGGTCGCTCCTCATGAAGCGCTTGTTGCACACCGGGCACGCAAACCGCTTCTCCCCCGTGTGAGTGCGCAGGTGCCTCTGGAGCTCGTCGGACCTGGTGAACCGTTTCCCGCAAAAGAGCCAGTTGCACACAAACGGCCTCTCGCCGGTGTGCCACCTCAGGTGCGCTTTGAGGTGAGATGTTTTCCCGTAGACTTTCCCGCAGCCCGGGATGTGACAGCTATGAAGTCCTTTCCTCCGTAGGCTGGCGCCCGCAGGCCCGAGCCGCTCCGCCTCCTGGCAGTTCGGGCAGTCGCATGTGGCCCGTCCGGAGTATCTCCGCGAGGACCGGGACGAGGTCCCTATCCCCGAGCTGGCGCCCGAGATCATAGCGTTTGTGGCCGACGCGTCCGTGTACGTGGGTATCACAGTTTTGAACCCTTCCTGGGTCAACAGGTGCTGGCTGGTCGACAGGAGGTGGGACGCGGTGGGGCTGATGCCGGTGGAGCTGAACGCGGAGTGCGTGAGGCTCGAGAAGTCCGGATTGTAGCCGCTCAGTTGGGAGTGGATAGCTTGTGGGGTTCCGGAGTGAAGCGAACTTTGCAAAGTGCCGGCCGGGTTTTGAACCTCGAGCCACGAGCCCGGGTTCGTGTGCACGTCCCACCACGTGGACGCGCCGTTGGCCACCTCGCCCGAGATGGTGGAGTGAAACCCGGACTTGTACCACGATTCATAAGGGTGCGCCATGCCGACCCGCGGATAAAGAGTCTCTGCTGAGGAGTGAACTTTGGAAATGAAGGCGGACTGTCCCGAGTCCTGCGAGGAAACGCTCGCCGTGTTGGAGAACAAGCTGCTGTATTCTGCGGAGAAGGCGGAGGAGGTCGGCGAGGTCGAGGCCAGGCAGAAAGCGCTGTTGCCCGTGCCGGTGCTGCTCGTTAGTCCGGAGCTGCTTCGGCTCGTGGCGACGGTGAACCCGGGCAGGCTGGAGCCCAAGTTGCAGCTCGACGAGGATCTTTTCCAGGGATGAAATCCGCCTTTGGAAAACGCGCTGGAGTCGGGGAGAGTCGTGAGGGGACTGGTGTTGCCAATTTTGTTGCAGGTTGCAGCCAGCATCGCTAAAGGGGTAGTTCCAAACCTCGGCTCTTCCTGTTTGGATGAAAAGTTGATGTTCTTTACTAGACTATAAAACATAGTTGGGGTGTTTTGAAAAGCAAACAAGTCTAAGCCATTTGCCAGGTAGCCTACAACCAAAATACACGAAAAAATGAGCTGATGCACTTGTAAATATTTCCTACAAGTTTTCAAATAAGTTGACATGTTTTAATAAAAGGGCATTAACAAAAAATCTCACGTTTAAATTATTGCAGTATTGCTATTTTTATTTAAAAAATAAGCACTGTTACAAATGTCACTGTTATTATACCTCTTTCGCTGAACAGGGTTTTCGAGTTTACAACTGTTTCATTTTCGCCTTCGCTGGTTTTTAAGATTTCTTTAAAGCACTAGTAGCCAACTAGTAAATCTAGACAATTAAAAAAAAATGTTATCTTTAGGCATCATTGTTTTTTTTAGAATGTAAATAAAAGTCATTAAAAAGTTTAAAGGCAAGCAAGCAATGAAATGTCAATACCAATGGTGACACTATAACAACAAAAATGCGTCGAATTAAAATACATGTCAATGTTTACTTACCCCAAGTATAGACGTAGCCATATCCAGGGCCTTTCCTAGACAGCTAGTTGAAGAGAACAATGAGTGAGTGTTCCAGTGTGACTGAGGGACAGCGCGCTGAAGCTTTACTCTCTCTACTCGAGTTGTATAGTGAGCGCGTGCTTTGAAGTACAGCTGGCTGCGATACTCAGCCAATCTTAGCGCGCGACGACTCCCGTCCGACCAATGAGCGACGCCACCATGACAGAAATACTAAAGCTGCACGTCAATCAATGACTGGGGTACTGGTCCCACTGTCAAGCAATAAGCCATCAGCTATTTTTCATCATTTTATATATATATATAACTATGGCTATCAAGGCGTATATCTGCACAGACTTCAGCGCTCAGCTCATATTGCTATTTAATAGGCATCGTCCGATGGTAAGCGTCTC